TATATATTAGGGCTGGTAATGATTAAAAATTTTGTGTTCGATTAATCGCATTTTTTCAAAATCGATTAATTTCAATTAATGATAACGCACATACAGATCCAACTACATTGGCCTATACACATACAGCACAGCAATGAAGTAATAAAATGAACTAGGATCACACTAATCCACCACGTTATTAATCTCACGTGCCCCACTCAAGAGGGAGAAGCAGCACAATAAGCCAATTAGTTGTGCTGCAGTGATCACTCACTAAAATTGAACATAACCATGTAGGCGGAGAGAACAGGGAGACAGAGATAAGCTCATCATTCTGCTGCTTTTCCTTACTCTGTTAAATCACAGGGTGGGGATGAAGAGGGGACTTGTAAGTGTCGCTCAACTGGAGAAAAACCAGGTCTTCTCAGGTCAGTTTTGTGGCAGAGCTGTGTAAATCTCAGAACTGGATGGAATGAAATACAAATCCTTTAGCAAGTAAAACAGCACTTTTATGTCAACTGTGCATTTTCTATGGCTTATTGCATGGAGCACAGCTTTAATAATAATAATAAAAATACATTAAAGGAGAACTATGAGGTGAGTGATTTTCACTCAACCTCATAGCTCGAGCCGATGTGTGACAGTGAAAATGTCACAGGTCGGCTCAGTAGATTGGGAAGTGAGTGAACACATAGCGTTGCTCGCTCACTTCTCGATCATCTCCCTGCAGAGAGCAGTGATTGTCACTCACAGGTCCCTGCAGGGATTCCCCCCGCCCCGATCCTCCAGTGCTGACTGGAGGAACGGACGGGGGAGTGGGCGGGCACAGCCAGCTCTGCCTCTAGATAGGCAGAACCAGCTGTCACTCATGCAGCTGGGTGGATCTCGACAATAATGTCGGGATCCGTCCCGGCTGCGGCGGTCTATGTATACCGCGAGCTGTAGCTCACGATATACTGGGCTTTGGGTCACGGGAGGAGGTTAGTATATGTCCTCCCGTGACCCTAAAGAGAACTATGGGGAAAACACTTACCCCATAGTTGTCTTTTAATGTTTGGATGTAAACATATAAATGACTGTTAAAGCAAACCTTGCACTCCATGCAAGGTCTACTTCTTTACTGCAGGCCCTTCCCCTCATTTTGTTCGGCTTCAAAAACATTTTTTCAAAAACACCCAAGTTAGTTGATATACACACCTTTCCCCTAGCTTCCGAATTGCAGGGGCTGGCATCCCCATCCTTCTAACAAGACAATGAAGATTATCCCAAATCTCACGAAATATGGACTGCTCGGTATCTCTTGGGATTTCATGGAAGCATACTAACATCACCCGTCCTAAGCACCACAGTAGGAAGTGTAAGAACTAAGTCACTTTTTTCCCCCCACACATAGTTTTTACATACAGTATTAGTAGAATGAATTGAGATAGGGAAGGAGCCCTCAGTGCATAAGCAAACCTTGCTATTTAGGTGCGAGGTTTCAGGGCCTGTATCAATGGCCTTTTGTTTGCTTTAAACAGGTTTTGCACTCCCAAACAAGTCTGAAGGAATGCAAAACCTGCTGGAAGCAGGTCAAATACAAATCAGAAGGAGGTCAACTGCACCTGTCATTGAATTCTGAATGATCTCAGAACAGTCTCAAAATAATGCCATCAGCACAATACAAAATCACGTAGAGATAGACCCTAAATCAAGGGTAGCTACACTTCGTCCCTCCAGCTGTGGTGAAACTACAAGTCCCATAAGACACTGCAAGACTGACAGCCACAGGCATGACTTCCAGAGGCATGAGATGGGATGTATAGTTTAACCACAGCTGGAGGGACAAAATTTGGCTACCCCTGCCCTAAATCGTAGCCAGAGCTTCTTTACCTAGATCAACGTCCTCCATTTTGTTAAAAGCAACAGCTGTCGAGTCTCCATTGATAACGTCCAGGAAGAAGTCAGCAGGGTTGTTATGAGCCTCACATTCATAGCCTATTGAAAAGAAAAGTGCAATACATTTAATTCAATTTGCACATCCACATTTTAAGGCTATTGAAACCAGTCAGGAAATACTGAAGCCTTTTGCAGTCTTTATTTGCAGACAAAAAAACGACTAGTGTAATTAGTGGTACAACAGAGGCGTTGGATTAGTGCCATTTCACGGCGGGAATAGCAGATAGTCTGCCAGGGGTGAAAGCCCTACACCTTCCCAGGAATGCTTCTGTTCAGACTGAATGCAGCATACGATTGGAGGTGATTCTGGAAAAGAAATCTACTCAATGGGGCAGAGAGAGCAATAAAACATTTTTATTTAATGTTGTCTGTCTCTCTAGAGGTGAGATTTCTTTTCGTTTTCTGTTCTTCGTGACACCGCTCAAAGAAAGTACTGTAAATGAGAAGATGGGGAATACAGGTGAAACTTGAATAATTAGAATATCATGCAAAAGTAATTGCAGTAATTGCTGCAAAAGGGGCCCAAACCAAGTACTGAGTACATATGCATGCTTATACTTTTCAGAGGTCCGATATTGTTTTATTGATTGCATGTAATATTCAACTTTTTTGAGATTGTGGATTTGGGGTTCTTGGGGTTTTCATGAGCTGTAAGCCATAATCATCACAATTATGACAAATCACGGCTTGAACTATCTTGCTTTGCATGTAATGAGTCTATCTCATATATTAGTTTCACCTTTTAAGTTGCATTAGTGAAATAAATGAACTTTGCACGATATTCTAATTATTCGAGTTTCACCTGTAGAGGCAGCAAAAACGTTAACAGACCTCCTAATGCTCCCCCCTCAAACCAAAAGGTTTTGGCTGGAGATGACCTTGTTAATCACAGTAGCAGATTCTATGCACTTGCTCATTTGTCCTGCACGAAGAATGCTTTGAATCACTTGTTTAAGAGAGAACAATGGACAAATCTTTTTTTTTGGTATAGTTCTACTAATGTCCTCCTTTGACCCAAACTCAGAATATAATGGGTATTTAGTCTGTATATGCTGATAGTGCAGAGCCGCACTGCAGCCGGGAAAGATACCAACAGTATTGTTGGGATCCACCACGCTGCATGATTGACAGCAGCCTCTGCCTCTCTAGAACCAGAGCCAGCTGTGCCCGCCCCCTCCCCTGTCTGTCTCTCCAATGAGCACTGGAGGAACAGGGAGAGGGAAGGGGTGGACTCCCTGCAGGGAGCAGTGCCTGCTCTCTGCAGGGAGAAGCCATAAGCTCAGCAATCAGTAGTTCTTGATCACTCAGTTCTCGAGCTATAGAGCTGGTGTGTGACAGCTGCAGTGTACCACGACAACTCAAACTATTGGGAAGAGTACATTTCACTCTGCCAATAGTTCTCCTTTAAAAAATAAAAGCAAATGTTCTACCCTCATCCCCCACCCTCATTAACATCCCAAATAAGAATTGAACCCATCCAAAATTGCATCACTTACAAACCTCCATCCAAGGTTCTTACCTAGTTGTGTAAAGTACTCCAGTGCACGGTCAGAAGGCCCATGGTACAGTGTTCTTCCTGCAGCCAGTAGCGTGAGACTGTCAAACAGTCTAAAGATGGAATAGCGAGGCTGATGTATAGAAAATATGATGGTCTTGCCTTGCCTTGCCATCCTAATAAGTAAAAAAAAAGGCAAAAGTGAAAATGCTGTCAGAGAAATTGGGACCTATACATATTAATATACCAAAATAAAACAAATAAAATATAAAAAATGCTGCACGGCGATAAACATGCCAGTTATTAGGAAAAGTACACAAAAGCCATTCCAAGACTACAATAGAAAAACTTCAACTTGGCAATTTGCTGAATTGCTAGCGGTCAGCTGTTTCAGCTTGGCTTTAGTGCAGCTATAAAGCTCCTATACAGCTTTATTTTTTAATTCTCAGTCACAATGCAGTGTTGACCTCAGACACATGCACGTTTAACCCTTTCACTGCCACTGCAGTAAGGCACAAGGCTTCCAGCTGGCCAGGTCGGTATCTCTTCCAGCGGCTGCATTCTTGCTTCTGCTTTAAGCTCATGGTCGCAATGCTTGATTTGTGTGCATTAATAATGATTTTAGAATATGTTTATCAAATATAATCTAAAATCATTTGCGAAACGATCACGCGCCCAACAAAATCAGTAGCACAAGCTTTTTATTCTACCAGTCCTGTGCTTTCAGAATATACAGTAATCAGGTGACAAGCAAATGAAAAAGTCATAGAAGATCTCAGCACAGCAGAACCAGCGGTGTGAGCTGGCGTGGTAACAGATGATATAGACCAGGGGTCTCAAACCTCCGGCCCTCCAGCTGTGGTAGAACTACAAATCCCATGAGGCATTGCAAGATTCTCACAGCCACGACTCCCGAAGAGAGATGCATCATGGGATATGTAGTTTCACCACAGCTGGAGGGCTGGAGGTTTGAGACCTCTGATATAGACAATTAGTGAAGTAACTAGAACTTGATGGCTCCTTTACCTTTTCAGCAGCAACAGAACAGCATTGGCAGTGCTAGCATCCAAACCAGTGGTTGGCTCATCTAAGAATAAAATCCCTGGGTCGGTAATGAGCTCCATACCAATATTTGTTCTCTTCCTCTCTCCTCCAGACACACCACGAATCAGCTGAGTGCCAACCTAAAAACAAGTACAAACCAAGGTTCTTATATGGCATACTCAGAAGAAAGAGAACAGCAAAGCTACACTAGCTCTACTCTACCCTTACCTTTGCATCGGCCACTTTGGTCAGTCCGAGTTCTTTGATGATCTGATTGATACGCTCATCCTTCTCCTTTTGTCTCAGGGACCTGGGTAATCTCAAAGCTGCAGAAAACTGAAGATTCTCTCTCACAGTCAACGTACCCATCACAACATCATCCTAAAACATAATGAAACGTATTTACCAACATGCAGGGTCGGAATAGAACAGATCTAAAAAGTATATGGCAATCCACAAAAAAAATAAAATGTTATGCCCAAATTTATCTAGATTCTCTTCATTGACTATAACGTCTCAAATCTAGGGAATAAACTTATACAGCTTTCTTACTGAACGAACAAATCTGACAGATTCGTAGATGGAGGAAACTTCTGCTGTGGCTATTGTATATTGACTGTAGCTCGCGATATACTGAGCTTTGGGTCACGGGAGGACGCTAGTTTATATCCTCCCGTTACCCTTAGGAGGACTATGGGGAAAAACACTTACCCCATAGTTCTCCTTTAAGTACTCTCTGCAGAATACATGGCACTATTGTGATATACAAATGTAAACACAAAGTAACTTACCTGCACTACATAACCAGATAAGCACTTGAAGTTGGGGGGCTGTGGCTTCCCATCTATTAGAACCTCACCAGAGAGGCCATGTGGATCTTTTCGAGCAGCAAGTACATCCAGTAGCCTGGAAGCATACGTAGCAGGTTTAATTCAGTCAAGTATATTTTTTTCAAACTTCGCTCAACCAATACATGTAATGTATAGGTACGCTGAAAGCATAACTGCACATCTACTGATAATCTTACACTAGCCTTTAAAAAGAAAAAACATTTCTAGAGTCAATTTACATTTGTTTTGTTTTTTACACTTTTAACGCCAAACGGTAACTTTTTTATATCTATCTATATAGATTATATAAACTATATAAATTAATATTTGTAAACAAACATGACAAAGGATTCTCAGGGCAGTGTGTTTTAGATAAAGAGACAACAAAGCAGTTATCTCTCTGTGCGTGAAGAATCTCTGAAAATTCAGACTGAAACGTCCAACCAGGATAAGGATAAGGACTCCCCCGCCCCCACTACTCCTCCCCACATGTGATAAAAAGAAAAATTAGTGTGTGCTTTACAAAAAAAAACCCCCAAAAACATTAAATATATCTATATATATATATATATTGATCACAAATACAAACAAAAAAACCTTCTTTTCCATCTAAAACTAGGTACTTTACGGTTTTTATTGATAGGTATAAGTTCCTACATAAAATATTTTTAATACAAGGAATGTGACATAACTATCCCCAAAAGTTTCCAAATATGACATCACTGCTTACCAAATACAACACTGTTTATTTACATTACATTCACAATTAGAATTAGTTGGGAAGCAGGGAAATGTTGCTATAGTGGGCGACTTCAATTATCCGGACATTGATTGGTCAAATGGAACCTCTCATTCTATAAGGCCGGGCCATTTTCTAAACCTGTTATGGGACAATTTCCAGGATCAGATGGTTGATGTCCCAACCAGGAAGAATGCAATACTAGACTTAATAATCTCTAATAATGCGGCCCTTGTTGGGGACATAACGATTAAGGATACATTGGGTAATAGTGATCACAGGATGATTACTTTTAACGTTGGGTACAGAAAAGAGAAGTGCGTTGGTTTGACAAGAACACTAAACTTCAGAAAGGCAAACTTTGTTAAGCTGCGTCACCTAGTATGCGACACTAACTGGTACAACATATTTCTAACACTAAACACTGACCAGAAGTGGGATTGTTTTAAGAACACATTACAAAATGCTTTTGCAAAATGTATACCACTGGGAAACAAAAATAATAGATCAAGAACTAAGACTGCATGGCTAAATAAAACGGTAAAACAATACAACAAAGAAAAGAAGATAGCATTTATAAAATATAAGGTGGAGGGGACTGCATTGGCATTCCAGAACTACAAGGAATGCAACAAGAGATGTAAACAAGAAATTTGGGCGGCTAAAATAGATTATGAAAAGCATATCGTCACAGTCAGTAAAAAGAATCCCAAAAAATTCTTCCAGTATTTAAACAGTAAAAGGGTAAAGAAAGAGCAGGTCGGCCCAATAAAAGATGAAAAAGGGAGATTAGTCACAAACGACAGGGAGAAGGCTGAGGTATTGAATACATTTTTCTCATCAGTATACACTCAGGAAAGTGACGGGTTTAATGGAGATAAGAATGTGAGTAGGTTAGTGCGTAAAATACCGCAGTGGTTGACAGTAACTGGGGTTCAACAAAGACTTGATAAACTCAATGCAAATAAATCATTGGGACCAGATAACCTGCACTCCAGGGTATTTAAAGAACTCAGCCAGGTTATAGCGAGACCATTATTCCTCATTTTAATGGACTCCATAATGACTGGTAAGGTACCAAGTGACTGGCGGAAGGCTACAGTAGTGCCAATATTCAAAAAAGGTCGAGATGCCAACCTGGGAACTACAGACCAGTCCGTCTAACATCAATAGTATGCAAACTGTTAGAGGGAATGATAAAATACTATTTAGTGTATTTTGTTTGTGACAATGGTATTATAAGTGATAATCAGCATGGATTTAGGAAGGACCGTTCTTGTCAGACCAACCTACTAACATTCTACGAATAGGTGAGTAAAGATCTGGATGGAGGGAGGTCGGTGAATGTAGTATATCTGGATTTTGCCACAGCTTTTGGCACAGTAGCACATAAACGCTTAGAACACAAGCTGAGGTCTATGGGCATAGATGACATGGTGTGCACATGGATAGAGAACTGGTTATAGGAACGTGTCCAGAGAGTATTGATAAATGGCTCAGATTGGTCTTTGGTTGAGAGTGGCGTGCCCCAGGGTTCTGTGCTAGGCCCAATACTGCTTAATCTGTTTATTAATGATATCGGGGAGGGTGTTAAAAGGAGAACTATGAGGTGAGTGCTTTTCACTCACCTTATAGTTCTATCCGACCTGTGACAATGAGACTGTCACAGGTCGGCTCAGTAGATCGGGAGGTGAGCGAACACATACCGGCGTTCGCTCACCTCTCGATCCTGTCACGGCTCTCTGCCGTGACAGGGGAGGGGGTGGATTCCCCTCTCCGATCTGCCAGCGCTGACTGGCGGAACAGACGGGGGAGGGGGCGGGTACAGCTGGCTCTGCCTCTAGATATGCAGAGCCAGCTGTCAGTCACGCAGCTGGGCGGATCCCGGCCCAATTGTCGGGATCCGCTTCAGCTGCGGCGTCTCAGTATACCGTGAGCAGCAGCTGTATGTACTGAGTATACTGAGCCTAGGGTGACGGGAGGACGCTAGTTTGTGTCCTCCCGTTACCCTGAGAACTATGGGGAAAAGCCTTAACCCCATAGTTCTCCTTTAATAGCCATGTTTCTCTTTTTGCAGATGATACTAAAATTGGGAGGGTCATAGACACGGACTTAGACACTATAGCATTGCAGAGGGACCTGGATAAAATAGGGGAGTGGGCAACTATATGGCAGATGAGGTTTATTGTTGAAAAATTTAAAGTAATGCATTTTGATGTCAAAAACAGGCAAGAAGAATACACATGGAAACTCCACTAGTGAAGTCAGAAATGGAAAAAGATCTGGGGATCATAGTAAACCACAAATTGAACAATAGCATGCAATGCCAGGCTGCAGCAAACAAGAGCAGAGTACTGTCTTGTGTTAAAAAGGGTATTTACTGTAGAGACAGGCAATCATTTTACCACTTTATAGATCGCTGGTTCGGACTAATATGGAATATGCGGTCCAGTTTTGGTCACCAATCCACAGAAAGGATGTCCTTGAGTTGGAGAGAGTCCAGAGAAGGGCAACTAAAGTATTTAAGGGGCTGGAGGACCTAAGCTATGAGACAAGGCTACTAAATTTAAACTTGTTCACGCTGGAAGTGAGGAGACTAAGAGGAGACATGATTTTGATGTACAAAATGTTAAGTGGTGATGGCAACATCAGCAATAAACTTTTTACTATAAACTCCCTAACAAGGACTAGAGGCCACCATCTAAAACTGGTGGAGAAAAGATTTAACCACAAGGGGAGTACAGGCTTTTTTTCAGTTACAGCGGTTAAAATCTGGAACTTGCGGCGACAAGCAGTGGTATCAGCAAAGAGTATCAGCAAAGAGTATTGAATCATTCAAAAATCATTTAGATACCTTCCTCAGAGACCACAACATACAGGGGTACAGGTACTCTTAAAATCTCGACCACACAGGGATTCATATACACACACACAATCACATAAAGACACACAAAGGTTGAACTTGATGGGCCAGTGTCTTTATTCAACCTCAAATACTAACTATAACGATTAGATAGTATACGGATTCTACAAATGCACTTTCAACAAAGAAAAGGGGGGGGCAAAGCGCTCTCATGAAAGTGGTGGCTGTATTTGAATGTGGTTGCTATGGAGTGCTGCTCTAAAAACAGGAGGAGAAACCTGTGGAGGCAGTGATGGAGAATTAAGAGCGCAACTCCAATGGTGTGAATGGTGTTGAGACAGCCCGTCTCTATAGAATAAAAATTCAAACATTCAAAATCAAGTATAGAACAAATGGGGAACTTACTTGTATGTCCCGGAGTCTGGGCGCGGGGCAGCCCCGATGGAGGATCTGGCGGTTCTGGAATGTAGTGGCCGGCAGATGTGATTCCAGTAGGGAAGGAGGGAAGGACGGAGCGGGACGGATCTTAAGGTCTGGACGTGGCTGCTGCGAGCTGTAGTGTTAGATGTGCTGGTGAGGCTGGGGGTCAAATTTAGGCCGTGGACGGATATGAACGGGGGGGCTGTGTGTGGTCTAGTGGTGGGGCTGTGGGGGTTGTCAGGCGCTTGTCTGAGGCTGTGTGATTTGTGCGCCTCCAGTCTGTGCAGCGATGGCCAGACCTTAAGATCTGTCCCGCTCCGTCCTTCCCTACTGGAATCGCATCTGCCAGCCACTACATTCCAGCTCCATACACCACTCCCAGAACCGCCAGATCCTCCATCGGGGCTGCCCCGCGCCCAGACCCCGGGACATACAAGTAAGTTCCCCATTTGTTCTATATTTGATTTTGAATTTTAGAATTTTAATTCTATAGAGACCGGCTGTCTCAACACCATTCACACCATTGGAGTTTCGCTCTTAATTCTCCATCACTACAAATCCACTTTCGCTGATGTGGCACGGAAGTAAAAATGCCCAAGTAAGATTTCGAAATATGCAATGTCATGTTAGTTACAAATGTTACATGGCTAATGACTAGTACAAAACATTTTAAATGGGAAGCGAAATAAGACAAGCGCCAGCATAAAATACTGAGTACACAATGACTGTACAAAAATACTGCATCAGTCAGCATTCATGAACATGTACAAAATAAAACAGGATTTCCCTTTTCTAATTTATGTCAAATAATACTTTGCACATATCATTAACAACACAAGGCTTCTTCAGTATCATGCAAACTAAAGTTCCATATAACCCAAATGAACTTAAATCGATAGACACGAGATTGAAAACAAAAACGGTTTGAAACCATCTAATCTATGACCGATTATTTATCTTCCTGTACGGCCAGCATTACGCATGATATACTTACTTAGTCTGAAATGATTAAACTTGTGAAGTGTCATACTCATTTCTCAAATGTTATCACGTATGGCCAGCGTTTCATATATTATACCTACGCAGTCTAAAAATGATTACATTATGAACTGTAAATAGATCCATTTCATCAGATCTCATCATCAAGTAGTAATTAAATACAGCAGGGGTGTACAAATTAATATGGAATTCAGGAGCCAGCAGGATATTTTAGGAGCCAGCTACATTAACAACATAGAGAACCTCAAAAGTTAGACGCCGGCTGTAATTTTTAGGCCCCATTTACACCTACAGGTATATGTTTAGGTGCGATTAGGGATTCCTGCATCAGGAACTGGCTTTTTCCAGCAGCAGATATCCCCAATCTGCCATTTACAAGCGGCAGCTGTCACCCATTCAAGTTCAAGTTTATTTCTCGAATTTTAATGAAATGTAATGGCTTCAAATAGCCTGTAAGTGCATGTGCGTGTGCAGACCTTCAACACAGAGAAGGTCACAAAGTTTAGACAGGTTTTATCATACATGGATGTTCAGCTATGCAGCTAAACCTGTTAATCTGAAGATGTGCACTTACAAATAATACACACATAGTCCTAACCAACTCATTTGTGAAACCAAAATATATTTCTTAACAGACAAGCATAGATATACTTCCTACTCATCATGCTAAATTTCCTATATGGAAGGATCTAGAACCTTGGTTAGTTTTAGCTAAATGTATACACGGCTGTAAAAAAGCCATTGATGGAGGTACCCAACCAGCATGTGAACTGAACTCAACTGGCATAAAGTACCGTATTTGCCTGCGTATAAGACGGGTTTTGAAACCTTAAAAAATGGCTACATACAGTATACCGCGCTGAGCCAATCACGGCAGGCTTTGTATTAATGAATACAAAGCCTGTATTCATTAATACAAAGCCTGCCGTGATTGACTTAGCGGAAGACGGAGGACACAGCGGGGATCGTGGACAAGGTAAGAGACTGTAATCCCGAGTGTGGCTCGGGGTTACCGCTTATGGTACTGAAAATTAACCCCGAGCCACACTCGGGATTACAGTCTCTTACCTTGTCCACGATCCCCGCTGTGTCCTCCGTCTTCCGCTAAGTCAATCACGGCAGGCTTTGTATTTCCCTATACAACAATAATAGTACCGTATTTTTCACCAAATCCTTGTGGTGAAATCTGGCATGCGACATTTCATTCTTACAACTCTGGTACTTTACAAAGTCTGAGCCTTTATTTCCTTGCAATCATCAGAAGTCTATGGACAATAGACATATCATTTCACTGGGGATGATATACTAAAAGGCAATTCGGGCTGATCACATTGCAAGGGAATTTTCCCTTTGCTTAGTGAATGAGGTGAAGCTCTACTAACTTCCCCATGCACACAGACATTAAAATGGTCTAACATACACAAGCTTTCCACACAGTAGAAAGAGAAGACAGACTAGAATCTGGCCGACATTAGTCGTTACAGTCTACCTAACTTGAATTGCTTCTGACAGGCCCTAAGAATCTGTAGCCGGCACTTAACAGGCAAATGTCAGTTCTTTAAACAGATCAGTGACATAACCACCCACTAATGGGCAACAATACAAAAATGGCAAAAAGGGAAAAAAAAACATTTCTTTTACAAAACACCATTACATTTGTTACGCTTTATTTTTTACAGATATTTATATAGCGCCAACAATTTACACAGCACTTCACATACTGTACATTCACATCAGTCCCTACCATCAAGGAGCTTTCAGTCTAAGCTCCCTATGTCACATGGTTTAAAAAAGCATGCCATTAGAAAGTTGGCATCACTGATCACCAATATTTTAAATGGGCCTCTAGGAAAAACCTTTTATTAATAGTATGGAGAAGGGTTTCTGTCCTCATTTCTCTGCTGAAGACAAAATCGGGAAGGACAGCGAGAGGGGGAAAGGCAGCAGGAACAAACTAAATTAAATTCTAACCTGTACAAAAAAAAACAAATACTGTCATTTTAGCTTCTATTGCAGACATTTTCACTGTGACTAGAACAAGAAGGGGAAGTCTCCCTATAATGTGAACAAGCAAAGCTATAACAAAAAAACATCATGTGTAAACATATACATACTGTATATAAAAAAAATAATGCCTGCAGTTCCACTTTATTAGTACAATGGTGTACAGAGTACATCCAACTATCTTGTTTCCCACATCATGTTTGTCAGCGCTACAATATGCTTGTGTAACCTGGACCGTGCAAGTTATACAACCTGAACTGTCAGCAACCTGTAAATCAGCAGAGTTTATCACACCTCCACCTTTTTATTGATAAGCAAGAAACATTTCCTGTAAAGTCAGAGCCGCAGATAACACAGAAAACAAAGTTGCTTAGATTTCTACCTTTACATTTAGGTTTTAGAAAAAAACAATACCCAATTCAAGCACTTTGCTGCAGAAAGTATGCCACACCTGTGTTTTAGAGCAGAATTTGGGGCACAAATGTAAAATATATATGGAAACAAAAAGAAAACTTCAATTGCTGACTTTGTTTTAGACAGAATGATTTCCACGGTGAGGAAGCTGCTAGATTTTCCAGGAACGGGAACCCCCGTTAGAATAGCAGGATGTAAGACACTCCTCCCTTCTATACACTTCTTGTATAACAATCAAAACAAGCTCTTCAAAGGATTCTGTCTCAAAACAATGTGACAGAGATGTGACAAAGTTCATCTTTTTGCATAACATGATGTGAGGGTTGGACTAGAAGAAGTCATCTTTAAAATGCACCACTCTATTATCAAAGGTTTACAGGTTGAAAGACATTTTCACAGCAAGGAACCTATTGTGGAGAATGAAAGGTGACATTTTATTGTGTCCCCACTGGATAGGCGGGATTACTCAATAAGGGAAACAGCAAAATGCAATAACCAAAGCAAATCAACTTTCCACTGGGGCTTTTTTTAATAAGCTTACAGACGAACTACAGGAGGTAAAAAAAAAAAGACCCTACACACCTTCCCCTTGCAGACCCTTACCCCCACTCTGCAGGGATTAAGTTCTCGCTTTGTCTAGGGGGTTCAAAGAAAGCAGATATATTCACCTGTTCCTCGGTTCCACGGCAGTCAACTCTAACCTCTTTCCCCCTCCACTCTGGCTGAGGGATCTCCCTCAGCATCCTCAATTCTAATGCAAGTCAATGAACTGGCATGAGACGTGATGAGTTCTTAGACCGCCAGAAAAAGAGGCTGTACGGACCAGTCTAGCAGCCCAATGGGACTGTGGATCAGGCGAGTAAAACTGCTTTATTTCAGCCCCCTAGACATAACGAGCACTCCACAGGGTTATTCACAAAAGGGCAAAGAGTTTGGAGAAGGCAGGAGAAGTGAACAATCTAGGACAGCATGGCTGAACTGGAAAGTGAGTTGAATTAAAAATTGTTTCCAAGTCAGCTATGTTGTCCTAGATTGTTCACTTCTCCTGCCTTCTCCTAACTCTTCACCCTTTTGCGAATAACCCTGTTAATCTTTGCGGTGCGTGGTGGGGTAGCACCACTGCAAGGGTAAGTTCTTCTTTAAGAGCTCATCTTGAAGGACAAAAATAGAGGCCACCTGATCCCTCCTTACTTTGGGAGCGCTCCCAACACCTGCTGCTTAGCATTCACTGACCAGTATGAGCAGCGGCCCCACCGCATACAAGCACCCTTGACCAGTTTGCCAAGCACAATGTAGAACTTCTCAATAGAAACATTGTACATAGAAGCTTTTCAAGGCCCAAAGCAGGTGGCGCTTGGACAGCTTCTTTATTTTATTTTTTTAAATAGAAAAGACTAAAGCAGTACTCTATTAGTGACCCATGCAAAAGATAGAACTTTATTCAGGTTTTGGTAAGTATATGTCAAATATGGGATATGCTGAAAAAGCAAATGGAGCAGGCCAATCTTTGCCAGAAATCGACTAGGGCTGCAAGCGACTAATCGATAATAATTGATAATGAGAATAGCTGTCAACTATTTTCATTGTCGATTAGTTGGTTGGATCCCCTAGGTCTCTCCTCCATGCCGGGAGGAGGGCACAGCAAGCAGTGGGCGACTGCAATAGCCAGGCTGCTATTGGCTATTGCAATTTGAAATGGCCAATAGCAGGCTGGCTATTGCACCAGCCCACTACCTGCTGTATTTACATTCAGCTGCCGTCTGCGGAATCTTGCCACTGGCAGCTGTCATTCCCTGGCTGAGGCTTTTCAAGTGCTATGTCCTTACAATACAATTATAAAAAGGTGGGAAAAAAGTCATTTTAGATTTCTGCCTGACATATTCTGCTGTGGGAGGTGCGTTGCAGTGCCATTCATTCCAAACGCGCCTACCACCCGCATTGGAACGCACAGTACCAAGGGACACATGTTTAGGATGTCCAATACAGCTGCTGAAGAGCTCTATGCATTCTCACACACTGCACAAAACCGAATCCAATTTCAAGCTCATCCCAGTCCTGATATATGTTCTCCCTTAGCAAGCCCTGATGAAGGGCATATTTGTATGAGCCCCGAAACAAGATGGCCGTTTCTATACTGTCCCCTCATCCCTACATTGATTAAAGATGTATCTGGACTATTAAATGGAGTTTGGAGCAACAATTCACAATCCTGAGATTTGACACTACAAACCAAGGAGACAGTGGAGATCCTTTGGAATATAGAAGCTGCCTGTCCGGTAGTCAGACCACCAGGTCAGGTCAAGCACTTTTATTCCACTTCTTTCCTGAAACATACTGAAGGCAGACAACTCCTTTTCAGAAGAAGGCCTGCAATGGCAGCCCTTATACTTATCTCACTGCACTTTAAGTAAACGTTTTGCTCTGCCCTGCATGGACAAATCACAGGTTCACTTTAAGAAATAAGGACACATAAGATACCTTTTAACATCTGTTTTTCTAGTTAAGACAACAAAAACAGAAGTCATCATTTCTTAGGTGATGTGCCATGAATGTACTGAATGCCAAGCGCATCTAATTTTCTTTTTTATCCCATTTATGAATTGGCATGGTAACATTTGCGAGTACGAAAAGAACAATACACCCAAGCCATGTTCCTACAGATACACTAGCGGACATTTATCAATTCTGTTGCATGGCCAATTAATGCTAAACAGGAGCATTCTATGATTGGAGGAACAGAAGAGGAGGCGAGGATGTGATATAATTTCTCTTCCTCGAATCACAGAATTTCTTGTATTCTTTGAAGAAAAAAATACAATGCATTTTGAGAATGGACAATAGTGAGGAGGGGTGGGTGATGTGACCAGAGCACTTTACTGCTCGTGTCACATCTCTCTCCCCCCTTCAATGCCTGGAAGATGAGTGTTATGTGCATAGAATGGCATGCTGCAAGGTACCTTTTACAGCAGCCCTCTGCACATAACATAGCTTTTTAAATGATAATTTACACAGCCAGTGTGCTCTGTAACTAATATTTTTTTTCCTGGAGTTTGGCTTTGAATAGCAAGGCGGGTACAGCATGTGCTATTCCTGAAATGCCCTCTTGTGTCATTGTGGTATGCAACGCCCCCACAGTTTGGATTTACACAATATACATGATCATTTTTCCTGTGATTAGAAAGGAGGTAGGGTTGGTGGGGCTTTATGAAGTTTAATGGGAGTTAACTAAGTTGACATGCACATAAAAATATTTTTTTGGGCCATGCACATAACCAGATCTTTTCTGTAAATGCTAGAAGACAAGGTAACTTCACTTATAAAAAGGGTACAAATTGTTGGACAGGTTTACTTTATACAAAGATCAAAAAAACAAATTCAATAAGGTAAACAGCAATAACCAACAGCAGCCATACAGAATTCATCAGTCCGTGACCTGATTTCAATAAACTCAAATTTGATTGGCAGTTACAAGTGCACTTTACACACCAGCTATAGGTTATTTCAATGCGAAGAAGGTTGGCAAATAAAATGACTTACTTGACATCTGTTAGAATCTGTCTCTCTACAACTTTTCGACAACAAATAAGACCGCTCTTTATTTTCACTGTGTAGTTGATGTTGTGGAATGTTAGTGTGGCTCCTTGTAGTTTCCTTTTTGGATTATCTGATACATGAAGACCATTTATTACTGGTTCCATCATCTGCACAGCAGTATGGGAATTCTTCTCTGCCATGACGATGTGACCACCTTCCTGTAGAGACACAAGGACAACCATGAATGCACATTTGTTACCTGATTGCCAGGGTGTATATGACATATTTAAACACTACACCAAAAATTAATATTTCAGGTATGGGTGAATGCTGCCGGGCTGAATTACCCAGTAGGGTTCCAGTAGGGTTCACTGGCAACAATAACCAACTGGAACTCCTGACTTTTACTGTAACATTTAGGAACAACAGTTTGGAAATGAATGAAAGTAGAGTAGCAGGCTTCTATTTCTAATGCTAGTTGTATGGCCATCATACACATCCAATGCCTTTAATACTTTCTGGAACAGGTCTGTAGGCTGGGAGTTGTAAATTCACTCATATTATAGTCTGTCTGTTCCAGGTCAGTGCCCAGGAACGTATTAAAAGGCACAGCAGGCAACCAGACATTTTTGAAGAAGGTCTCCAATGGCAACCTGTGTGTTTCTCTCAGTGTATATTATCTACACAAAATGTATATTTCACTCATACTAGCTCTGGCTGGTGGACAGATCTAGAATTTCATAATCAACAATTTAACCATTGGAGTCATCGACTGCTGCTTGCTCTACCTAAACATAGTTTCTCCAGGATCATCTGACAGAGACCATGGTACCAACTAGGGATGCACCGATACTAGTATTGGTGCCGATACCAAGAATTTTGGCCAGTACTCTTACTCGCTCAAAATGTTCCCGATGCCTATCCCAATACCGGAACTTTTGATTGGCCCCCCATCTTCCTGATTGGCCTGGAAGCCGGCTCCATGGTCCCTCGTCACTTGGTCAGGTCAGGAAGCTTACCAAATCAGGAAGCCGGGCAACTTTACCCGGTCATTACCGGGTAAAATCATTACCCGCCCCCCAGCTTCCTGATTGGTCAGAAAGCCGGCTCCATGCTTCCTCGTCGCACGGGGTCGGCTTCCCGGCTAATCAAGAAGCCGGGTGGCGAGTCATTACACGCGCCCGGCTTCCTTCATAGGATTTCCGGTATCGATATTCGTATCGGCGAGTACCGGAAAAAAAATATCAGTACTCATACTCGATACCGGAAAAACGGTATCGGTGCATCTCTAGTACCGACACATGTTTCTAATCAGTGACTCGGAGTACTGAAGCCAGAAGATTAAAATGGCACCCAAGCAACAAGCATTTAAAAAAAGGTCATCAGCAGTAGGGCTGCAACAACTAATCGACATAATCAATTATAATCGATTATTGAAAAAGTTGTCAACTTTCTCAATAATCGATTAATCGGCTTCCGATCAGTTGGCCCTGTTCACAGCTCCACACGCTGTGCGCCGTACCTCCTCCCCACCTCACGCTCGCCGCTGCCAGACCCGCCCGTATCCACGCTTCACACGCCGCACCTCCTCCGCGCCTCTAGGGAAGTGGAGTAAGGAGGAGCGGGGTGGGGGTGATGACAGCCGCCGATAGACAGGCCCGATCTCAGAAGCAAGTTGCTGGAAGACTGCTCAGGTAAGCCTGTACTTTCCCACACATGGTACTCTATAATGTATTGCTGGGATTTGTATTCCTCTATAGCTGATGGTACATTGTGCTGTATATTATACATAGGAATACAAATCCCAGCAATACATTATACACTGTATGTATAATGTATTGCTGGGATTTGTTGTACTCTTCTGTAGCTGGTGATATTCTGCATTGCACGCTATAATGTACTATTGCTGGGATTTGTTGTACTCTATAGCTGGTGATATTCTGCATTGCGCTGTATAGAGGACTACAAATCCCAGCAATAATACATTATACAGTGGTGCAATGCTGAATACCACCAGCTATAGAGGACGACAAAACCCAGTAATAGTACATTATACAGCACAATGCAGAATGCCTCCAGCTATTATGTACTATTGCTGGGATTTGTTGTATTCCTCTATAGCTGGTGGTATTCTGCATTCATTGCTGTATAATTTTACACTTTCCATTTCACTATATTGCACACCACACTATCTTTCTTTTTTACTTCCACCGCTCCAAGCTTGCTCCTGTGATGGACTACAACCTCAATACAAACTAGTAGTCCCATCACTGGAGCCTTTTTTTAAACTTTATTTTTTTGTTTATCCGATTAATCGAACCTAATAATCGGCTAACTAATCGATTTTGAAAATAATTGTTAGCTGCAGCTCTAATCAGCAGCACTCAATACTTCATAGTTCCTACAGGTTTCTTTAAATAGTTTTTCATAACTCTGCACCATCTTTTTTTTTGCAGTCTCTGACCATCCCTTGCACCATGTCTGCAGTCTCTGACCATCTCCTGTGCCATGTCTGCAGTCTGTGACCATCACCTGTAGAATGTCTGCATTCTCTGACTATCATCTGTAGCACATTTGCAGTCTCTGACCATCCCTTGTACCATGTCTGCAGTCTGTGACCATCACCTGTAGAATGTCTGCAGTCTCTGACAGCTACAGTATGTGTAGCATTACATTCACTGAATATTATGTGCGGCCCTTGATAATGTCAGGGGCCACACTTGAGGCTCCTTATATCATATAAGATGACCTCCCCTTCTTTCGGGTAAACTTGTACATTAAGTTGGCAGCACAGCTCCAGTCATTAGTATACTTATTTTCAATCACAGTTTCCCCCCCATGTAAGAAGACTGTACAGGTGACATCTACAGCAATCAGCAGAGCATTTATAGCACCATTTATGGTTAACCATTAGCCATTTTCTGGGTGTGTTTTATGTCCTGGCAAAGATAAGGAGACAGCTCAAGAACTAGAACATAAGCAGGTGTCTTTCAGAGAACCAACCTGTAAAGGTATTTTACAGAAACTGCAAGAAAATATTACACGAACGGCCATGTTGGTGGCTTTCTGCACCACGTCGAATGGAGTATCACAGATTGTTTTTTTTTATGGTTGCGCAATGAGAAAGAAATGACTGGGCAATCTTTTTTACATTTCCGTTCACAAAAGGCAACATTCTGGGCTCATATTCTGCAGAAATATAAATGCTGATATGTGCTTTTCACATTTATTGTCTCATCATTTTATATTTTCACATACAGTGTACTTCATTTGATAACGAAATTCATGACAAACCCCAATGAAATATTTATACTTCAAGTGGTCTAAGCATGTAAAAGGCCAGCAACGTGCTGTAACCCACAGCAACCAATTACAAGGCTACACTTAACAAACTGTGGTGTGAATGGAAGTGACAAAAAAAATGATTACTATGATAAAAGTTGCATAACCTTAATCTCTGTACTGTACCTGTCCTACCGGATATCCTGGAATTTGTAGTTTCACAGGTTCTCTCCCATTTCTATCAGCCCTCAGAGAGAGATTTGTGCCAATCAATCCAGCTAGACCACTTAACACCACCAACAATAGGCTAAAATTACAGTCATTGCTGGGGATGCCCCCATACAGTGTACTTCATTTGATAGTACATCCGTGAATTGTGTACGCAATCCGTGAATTGTGTACGCAATTAGGGGAGCTTAACAAAACGCTGACATGCTGAAAAACGCACCAATGTCTGATTAATTAGCATGTAATACCTGTGCAAAATTAATAATAGTGGCACACATCAATTTGTTAATTTATAGCACGGTGAGGCACCAGATTCTAACACAATTAACTATAATTGTGGCACAAATCTGATGATATCTTGTGCTGGGGTCACCCTAAATGTGCTCCTTCCTGGCTGTCCATACGCATCCCCCTCTACTCTCTGATCACCGCAGTCACCCCTCTTCATTACAATACTTACACTGCTCTGGTAATGGCGTATATGTAACAATGGTGCGTGTGCTTTACTACGGACATGTAGAGAAACCGTCACCTAGCACTTTTTGGCCTCATTCACACGGGGTGTGTTGCTCCGTACAAAGTCTTGTCATGCTTCCCGGAACTCCAAGAAGAAATCTGCGGGCAGCTCACGTTAAGGTGGCCATACACAGTACAAATTTCGCGATGAACCGGCTCAGCTGATCAAAGGAGCCGGTTGGAAAATCTTCGAATGAACAGAGCCAGCAGCCAATATTCTAGCGGCTCTGTTCGGGTATTCCAGTGGCCGCCGTCGGAATACAATGAAGACAGCGGGAGACTCCTCGATCAACACTCGTAAGCGTTGATGGAGGAATGTGTAATATTTTCTTTGTTCAGAAAAAAATATTACAGTGTATGGCCACCTTGAGTCAATGTAGACGCAGGAGCTGTGCGCCCTCTCACACTGATTCTCACAGCTCAGTTTTGACTGCCGCACACAGACGGTTGGCAGACCTGGATCTATTTGCGCACGGTCTGTGTGCGGCCATCAAAACTTGGAGCTGTGGGAAGCAGCGTGTGAGGGCGCTCAGCACCGGCATCTTACAGCTGTTCACGCACTTCTTCCTGCAGCTCTGGGCTCATCAAAAAGCAGCTCTTCATGCTGTACAGGAGGGGTGGGCAACTGGGGCCATCCAGCTCTGCTTTCACTACAAATCCCAGCATGCCTATAACTGTCAGTCTTGCAATGGCTCATGGGACTTGTAGTTCCACAACAGCTGGCGTTGCCCACCCCTGCGTATGGAGCGACCTCATGTGAATGAAGCCTAAAAGAGATTTGGCGCTGCTGGTTCTACAGCAGGTAGAACTTGTTTGATAAAATTGGTAATTTGGGGCAGGTCAAATGTGTCATTATTTACACCACACACCCAACGTACACACAATATCACTACCGCTGCATGCATATACATTCCCAATTTCTTACACTGGATTTATAGTAGAAGGTCTTTTACACACACACACACACATCTAGATAAGAGAATAAAAAGGAACAGTCATGAAGTACACAAAGACACAGAAATCAATACCACAACCTATCCGGATAGTTGGAGAGGAAAGTACACATGCAGTGCAGAGCTGGCATGTTGTGTAATCCCTCTGGCTGCAGATCATATAGAACAGATGACTTACCTAACATAAAAGATAGCGGACCCCGTGCTGGTGTGATGAGCTCAGTGCTGTAATCTAGGCA